AAAAGAGTAGCCCAAGAGTTGGCGGTGGGTGGTGATGACTAGCTGCCTACCCTCTAGTCTTACATAGCTAAATTAGGGACGGCTAGCGCAGATAGCCCTCGTGTAGCTTTGCGCGAAATTCAAAAAACAAAAAAATCTAAAGTAACTAAACCAACCTCTGTGGACTTTGACGAAACGAGACAATTATTTAAAGCTCTGGATACAACTGTGATAACCAACAGTGTAACGAACATTTTTATGTACGTTTGACTTGTTTTAATTTATTATTTTAAAACAAGTGGCTTGTGTGCTGTTTGTTTATTGTTGATATTTGTCGCCAACAAGTCACAGACACCTATTGTAAAGAATCCGGCTCACACATAAAAATCTGATAGAGGGTGGTTTTTATTGTTTAGGTTTATGTAGAAAGGGAATTTTTATTGTTGAGGAGGAGGATATTTAAGGGTTGTGTAATAGAGGGATTCATTGTTGAAATTTGTATAGAAAATAGCACTTTTACTGTTGAGACTTGTGTAGGGGTCTTTTATTAATGAATCTCGTGTATAAAAAGATTTTTATCGTTGGGGTTTCCGTAAAGAAGAATATTTGTATTGTTGAGATCTCTGTGGAATGAAATTTTTAACTGATTCATCAATTGGAAAATTAAGTTTTATACTGAATATTAGAAACACGGTAATACCCAAAACATCTTTGTTTGTTTCAAATTCCATCATCAGTATCAAAACCTTAGTTCACAATATTCTAACTACAAAAAAAGAGCATTAGCCGCTAAGTGAGTTTTTAGCAGAACTTGAAGTTTAGAAATAACATATTTCAAATGTAACAATATAATATAATCTACGATAAAATGTAGACTGTTGAATAATATTGTGACGAGAAAACAACATAAAGAAATAATAAACCACCATATATTTAAAAACAATAATAATAAATACTGGAAGTCTGGAAATTATTAGATGTAGGAAGAGATTCATATTGTTGAAATCTATGTAGGAAGAGATCCATATTGTTGAAATCTATGTAGGAAGATATTTTTATTGTTGAAATCTATGTAGGAAAATATTTATATTGTTGAAATCTATGTAGGAAGAGATTTATATTGCTGAAATCTATGTAGGAAGATATTTTTATTGTTGAAATCTATGTAGGAAGAGATTCATATTGTTGAAATCTATGTAGGAAGAGATCCATATTGTTGAAATCTATGTAGGAAGATATTCATGTTGTTGAAATCTATGTAGGAAGATATTCATGTTGTTGAAATCTATGTAGGAAGATATTCATGTTGTTGAAATCTATGTAGGAAGAGATTTTTATTGCTGAAATCTATCTAGGAAGATATTTTTATTGCTGAAATCTATGTAGGAAGATATTTTTATTGTTGAAATCTATGTAGGAAGATATTTTTATTGTTGAAATCTATGTAGGAAGATATTTTTATTGCTGAAATATATGTAGGAAGAGATTTTTATTGTTTAAATCTATGTAGGAAGATATTTCTATTGTTGAAATCTATGTAGGAAGATATTTTTATTGCTGAGGTTTTATAGGAGGATCTTTAACTGTAGATGAAGAATTTCATTGATGATATTTGTTTAGAAAGGGACTTCTATTGTTGAGATTTTTGTGAATGGGTGGCTTTTGTTGTTGACATTTAAAAAAGCAAAAACTGGTGGTATTGAGGTCTATTAAAACGAGAAATAATGGTATTGAGGTCTGTTAAAACGGAGGACTGTTGGTATTGGGATCTGTTAAAATGGATGACTGTTGGTATTGAAGTCTGATTAAATGGAGGACTGTTGGTATTGAGGTCTGTTAAAATAGAGAAATGTTCGTATTGAGGTTGTTAAAATTGAGGACTTTTTACTGAGGTCTGTTAAAACAGAGAAATGTTGGTATTGAGGTCTGTTAAAACGAATAACTGTTGGTATTGAGGTCTGTTGAAAAGGGGGACTGTTGGAATTGGGGTCTGTTAAAACGAAGAACTGTTGGTATTTGGGTCTGTTAAAACGAAGAACTGTTGGTATTTGGGTCTGTTAAAACGAAGAACTGTTGGTATTTGGGTCTGTTAAAACGAAGAACTGTTGGTATTGGGGTCTGTTAAAACGAAGAACTGTTGGTATTGAGGTCTGTTAAAACGGGGAGAGTTCGTATTAAAATGGTCTAAAATTGAGGACTATCAAAACTGAGGTCTGTTAAAAAAAGATGACTGTTGGTTTTGAGATCTCTAGAAGAGGACGACTGTTATTACTGGAAAGATGTTTACAGACTTCTCAGTAAAAATATTGTTACGACAGCGGAGGTCACGTGAAACTTTTAACACGTCATGCGCTTCTAGAACGTTCATGAAACCTCGAGAGGCTACTAGATATGCGGTATTCTTGTAGATAAGCCGCCAAGAAATGACGGCAACAATGGGTAATTGAACTGCGGACAGAGAGAGACGTATTGTTGAGTAGAGCACGTGAGACGGTCGTTGTGAATTATAGCGTTTGTTATAGCGCGACTGTGGAAATTAAGTGTATTGCAAAGTTGTATTCAGAAAGAATAAACCAGTTCTATTTAAGAAAGGACTTGTATCGCTAAAATTTCTTCGGAAAGAATTTTTACGGAAAATTAACTAACGACCAGAGGCGTAACAATATATCACAGACGAAAACTTTCGCTTATATGACTTTGTCACTAACGTTAATGTATGTGTATTACGATTCCGTCTGTTTTTAAAGTAATAACCATTTAAACGTTTCGTAAAAATTAGCCAAACCTGTTGTTTTATTAGCTTACATCATTACGTATTCCATTATAAACTTCATGAATACGTTATTTAAAACTGTGTTACTTATAAAACTCTGCAGCTATGTTCATTAAAACAGAACGCTCTATGTACTATGTTAAAAAGTAACATATAATCATTTCCCCCCCCCCCAAAACTATGTACATACATAAACATTTAATTCTAGGTCCACTAATTCTTTAAACCCAAATGGGGAGACACCACCAGCCTCTGTTCTAGGGTCAAGACGAAGTTCCAGTTTATCAACAAGAAGAGAGGTCAGTACTTGGTGTTTTACTGTACTTAGATTAGATATATTGGTTGACGATACAGTTTGGGATTTGTTGTAATTTAATAATTTATTATGCGGCTTTTTGCTTAACAAACAAAAGCTTTTAAGACACAAAACACATCTAGACACACACAAACAGTTAAAAATTGGTGTATTTAAGACACATTTTAACTGTTTGTGTGTGTCTAGATGTGTTTATTGGTGTATTTAAGACACTTTTCAACTGTTTGTTTGTCTAGATGTGTTTATTGGTGTATTTAAGGCACTGTTTGTTTGTCTAGATGTGTTTAGTGGTGTATTTAAGGCACTGTTCAACTGTTTGTTTGTCTAGATGTGTTTAGTGGTATTTAAGGCACTGTTCAACTGTTTGTTTGTCTAGATGTGTTTGGTGGTGTATTTAAGGCACTGTTCCACTGTTTGTTTGTCTAGATGTGTTTAGTGGTGTATTTAAGGCACTGTTTGTTTGTTCAGATGTGTTTAGTTGCATATTTAGGGCACCATTCAGCTTTTTGTGTGCCGGATGAGTTTACTAGTGACTTTAAGGCACCATTCAACTGTTTGTGTGTCTGGATGTGTTTATTGGTGTCCTTAAGGCACCATTCAACTGTTTATGTGTCCTGACGTGTGTTCTGCGTGTATTTATCAGTGTCTTTCAACTTTTTTGTGTGTCCAGATATATTTAGTGCTATCTTTAAGGCACTGTTCAGCTGTTTGTTTGTCCAGATGTTTGTAGTGGTAAGTTTAAGATACTGTTCTACTGTTTGTGTTTCGGATGTTTAATGATGTATTTAAGATACAGTTCATCTGTTTGTGTGTGCCCAAATGTTTAATGGTGTCTTTAAGATACAGTTCATCTGTTTGTTTGTCCAGATGTTTACCGATGTCTTTAAAACGATGTTCGTCTGTTTGTATGTCCAGATGTTTAATGGTGTTTTTAAGACGCTGTTCATCTGTTTGTGTGTTCAGATGTTTAATGGTGTCTTTAAGATACTGTTCATCGGTTTGTTTGTCTAGATGTGTTTAATGGTGACTTTAAGATACTGTGCATCTGTTTGTGTGTTCAGATGTTTAATGGTGTCTTTAAGATACTGTTCATCGGTTTATTTGTCTAGATGTGTTTAATGGTGTATTTAAGATACTGTTCATCTGTTTGTGTGTTCAGATGCTTAATGGTGTCTTTAAGATACTGTTCATCTGTTTGTTTGTCCATATGTTTAATGGTGTCTTTAATATACAGTTCATCTGTTTGTTTGTCCATATGTTTAATGGTGTCTTTAAGATACTGTTCATCTGTTTGTTTGTCTAGATGTGTTTAATGGTGTCTTTAAGATACAGTTCATCTGTTTGTTTGTCCATATGTTTAATGGTGTCTTTAAGATACTGTTCATCTGTTTGTTTGTCTAGATGTGTTTAATGGTGTCTTTAAGATACTGTTCATCTGTTTGTTTGTCCATATGTTTAATGGTGTCTTTAATATACAGTTCATCTGTTTGTTTGTCCATATGTTTAATGGTGTCTTTAAGATACAGTTCATCTGTTTGTTTGTCTG